ACCTTACTTAATTTTTACAAGGTTTCTAACTGAAAGATGGATACACATTTTTAGTCTAGTTGCCAAAACTCACGTCTTAAAAAAAAAAACTTGTTTAAAAACATGTCAATTCTTTTGTTTTCCCCTCAGAAAAATGTCTATAAACAAAATGGTTGGTTGCATGTTCAAATTAATGATCACAAAAAACAAAACAAAAACAAATCACTATATATGCATGCAAGCAAGGTGTACTTTTATAAAGTGTTTTAGGTCGTTTTTATTAATGGTTTAAATTATGTTATATTTGCAGTTAGATTAATGTGCAGGGCACTTTGCTTAATAATAAAAAAAAATGTAAAATTCATTTTAATGTATATTTATATATAACATCATGGGAAGATAAATGACACCCATTCAGTGGAATGGCACTCAAATAAAAAAAATAATAAAAAAAAGATGTTTGTGCTAGCTTGTTTATTTGCACAGTTGTTCTGTTTAAATTTAATAGTTTAGTACTTTTCTTTGTAATCAGCACTTCTTTTCCTAGCAGGTAATGATCTAAATGTCACGTTTGCCATCTGTTGATCAAAATGGTCTCATTTGTGAAGCTAAAGCACTTTTTATAAGCGGCTCTTAATAAGAGTGTCTCTACAGGCTTTAAATGTAAATAACAGAACATTTATATGTGCAGAAATCAAGATAATTAGGAACTAAAAAGCTGTTGAAATCAGTGTTGTTACTGTTAACTAAAACTATTACAAAATTCGGTATATGACATAAAGCTGAAATAATATAAAATATAAATATCCTGCCTTGGTAACTAACTGAAATAAATAAGTTTAGGTTAAATTAACTGGAATTAAAATGACATATATAAATATAACTTTTAGTAATTTTTGCATTTATAGTAGTTACGTAAGACCATTAAAATATACATATATATAAATAAGATTGTGTTAAACAAACAGAAATTAAAAACTAAAACCAAAATAAAAATAAAGCTATTCAGAATACAAAACAAAAAAACAAAAGACTAAATTTCTAAAACTTAAATTGAAATTAAAAATAAAAATATAAAAATAACAGCGGATTTAAAATTAATAAAAATTATAATACCAAAAAATGTCTAAATAATAATATTAATGATAATAATATAAATTGTAATAAATAAAACTGTAATAATAATAATAATATAAAATCAGGGCTGGTTTGGTTAACAGAAGAAGTAAGCAGAACATTAGTTGCAGGTAAGTAGCAACTAGTATTTCATAAAATTATATTAATGCATTCTGATCACTGCAGAGCCTTTGTACACTGTATCTGAGAATTTTTTATCGTGTTTGTATAAAAACCCCAAAAAACATCCGAAATCATCACAAAACCATAATTAGACGTGGTATTTTTGGTTGCTTGGTAAAGATCCCATAATTACGGACACATTCAGCATGCGAGAGAAAAGTGTGCAAGAAGAAAAGACAAAAACACCTCATACAGTCAACCCACACAACAAAATTTAATCCCCTTTTCGTGAGGCATAAATGGTCCAAACTTTATTACGCTAAACGTGGGGATCGGTGATGACAGTGGTTTTTAATGTAAAAACCGTACGCCAGCACTCCAAAATGTTTCGTAAAAAGTCATGTCACCTATGACTTACATATTCAGAACACATACACCGAGAGATTTTAATATACTTATATATGTATTTGTCGTTGCTGTCGATATTGGTCTTATTTCTTATTATTTTTTATCTAGACCAGCCAGATACAAAACCGATTTTTGGATACAGTCACATCAGCACAATACCGCTTCAGAAAGAAGTCCATCCAGCTGCGAATCGTCATTGTATCGTAGAAAACCTTGTCCGTTCTTCCTGAAAAAGTATCTATTTCGTAATAGTTTTTTATTGTTGTATAGACTGGTGCGATACGTATCCGTATATATCTCGTGTCTTCTGTGCAAAAGTCTTTGAAAAGTATTGGACATATACACATTCACACGCAGCGCTCACGAAACAAACGCAGTCACTTCCTCCTGCTTCTGCACCCTTGGCATCACATAGTAAACAGAAAGACTAACGAAAGAGACCTGTGCAGACGGGACGGGTGTGTTTGTGACCTCAGATAGCAGCATCCTCCGTGGGTTGGTCGTTAGATAAGGCACCGCTGCGTTACGGACTCTCTTTAGGACCGCTGGAGGAGGCAAGACGGGTCAGACTGTGCTCTCAAATACGACACTACATGAGCTCTGTTTCAAACCCTAGTGAGCCGCCTACATAGGGAGCCGCCTTCTAATGCAGCATCTGAACCATGATTGATTTGAAACACTCTGAACTCCACATATGACACTGATTGGATGTTAGCATGTTGCAGGTTCTTAAATGGTGCATCGTGACCTGAATACGGTCTCAGGTCTGTTCTGATGGCTCACAGAGAGCAACACTATTATTAAAGTGAATAATAAAATGCAGCTTAATCGTAAATTTACATTTACATTTAGTCATTTAGCAGACGCTTTTATCCAAAGCGACTTACAAATGAGGACAATAAAAGCAGTCAAAACTAACAAAAGAGCAACAATATATAAGTGCAAATGACAAGAGTATGTTAGACTCGTTTAAGTGTTTATGTAGTTAATAAAGCCTTACTTGTATCACACTTGACGTTGTTCATTGTTTGCTCATAACCGAAGTCTCTTAATCATGCAGATTTATGCTACAAGCTTTTGTAAAATTGTACAGTAAGAAAGTTATTTCCCTTAACCAGGAAATTAACGTTCTTAGAATTGACAGACAGTTGACCCTGAGAGGTCAAGTAAATATCTACAGCGGATCTAAATATTTATAATTAATTATAACTAGTTATGATTAATTATTCATATTTCCCATGAGCTGATTCGTTACAGGTGTGTTTTTAGTCGTTTCTTGAAGATGGTTAAGGACTCAGCTGCTCGGATTGATTTGGGCAGGTCATTCCACCAGGAGGGAACAGTTAATGAAAAAGTCTGTGAAAGTGATTTTGTGCCTCTTTGAGATGGCACAATAATACGCCATTCACTTGCAGAACTCAAGCTTCTAGAGGGCACATAACTCTGAAGTAATGAATTTAGGTAAATGGGTGCAGAGCCAGTGGTGGTTTTGTAGGCAAACATTAATGCCTTGAATTTAATGCGAGCAGCTACTGGTAGCCAGTGCAAATTGATGAACAGAGGTGTGACATGTGTTCTTTTCGGCTCATTAAAGATTAATCTTGCAGCGGCATTTTGGATTAATTGTAGAGGTTTGATAGAAGTGGCTGGAAGACCTGCCAAGAGAGCATTGCAATAGTCCAGCCTGGATAGAACAAGAGCTTGAACAAGGAGTTGTGTTGTATGTTCTGAAAGAAAGGGCCTGATCTTTCTAATGTTGTATAAAGCAAATCTGCAGGACCGGGCAGTTTTAGCAATGTGGTCTGAGAAATTTAGCTTATCATCAATCACAACTCCAAGGTTTCGAGCTGTTTTTGAAGGAGTTATGGATGATTAGCCTAACTGGATGGTGAAATTTTGATAAAGTGATGGGTTTGTTGAAACCACAAGCAGTTCTGGCTTAGCCAGGTTGAGTTGAAGGTGATGGTCCGTCATCCAACAAGAAATGTCTGTTAGACATGCTGAGATGCGAGCAGCTATCGTCGGATCATCAGGATGGAATGAGAGGTAGAGTTGAGTGTCATCAACTCAACTTGTTAATAGTTAGGATAGTGAAATAAATCGAATGTGAAAGTATAGAAGGGAGGAGAAAACACTTTGATGTCACAGGTATGGCCATTCAAGATACGGATGAACATTAATCTGATTTTGATGTAATTTCGCCATAATAATTTGCTATATACAGTACATACTAAAAATAAAAAAATGTTTGTTAATTGAAATGGAGCTGAAATAAAATTAAATATAAATATTAGGTGGTGAAAAATTTAAACTAAACATTTTTTTTGTTGTTGTTGCCTGAAATAAATTGAAATATTAAAATTGCTAACTGAAATAAAACTGGATTTAAAACTGAAATTAAAATTGCATAATATAATTATGTAAAACTAAAACTAACCTAAAATATTCAAAACATTTGTGTTAGCTGAAATAAAATAAAATACAAATATTAGGTGAAAAACTTAAAAGTTTTGAAATGTTGCCTGAAATAAGTTGAAGTACAAAAACTACTACCTAGAATAAAACTAAAACTATTCATAAATACTTAAAAAAAGACAAAAAATACTAAAAATTAAGCTAAAAAAAAATAAAAAAATAACAACAACAACAGTTTTGATGTAAATTCATCTGAACT